GGAGCGAAAGAGGAAGGAAACGCAACAAGCGGACCTCGCTGCTCTCCGCTGGAACTACTTGGGTTCGGCTGCCAACGTCAGCACTGGCTGGACTCCGCCCCGCGGAAGTGCGGGCCCCGCCTGCGGGAGAGGGCGAGCGGGAGGGGGAAGGCGGGAGCCGCGGCCCGGGCCCAACCCCCCTGAGTTCCGTAAAAACGCGTCGCCTCGGCTGCGCGTGCGCGCGGGGGCTCCCTCTCCGCTACCGTCTCCAAACGGAGGCGCGCTGGCGGCGAGGCTGGCGACCCCGGAAGTGCCAGATGGCCGTGCCCGCGCCGGGGTAGACGTGTAGAGGCCGGGTTTGGCCCTCGTGAACTCTGACCCGAGTGCGTGGGTTTCTCTTTCCGGGACAAGATGGCGCCGTCCACGCCGCTTCTAACAGGTGAGTTCTGGACGAGCGAGGGTCTGTTTCTTCGGACGTTTCTTTTTTGTGTCTCTGTGCTTAGGCTTGGAGCCTGGGCGGCCTTTTCTTGCGGACCGCGAGAGAGCCGGAGGGTCTTTTGGGTTTCTTCGTGGGGCGTGGCAGTGGGAAGTGAGGGCCTCTGCCGCCGGGCTGCCGCGTTCCCCCTCGGGCGCATCCCTCGTTCTTCCCGTCGCAGGACTAGAGGAGGGGAGAGAGCCGAAGGCGCTGGCCGAGCTGATCACCCTAGGCTGCAGTTACTAGGGTTGTACGAACGCTTATTTGTTGACAGACCCTGTTGACAGTGCGACGTCATTTAGCTCTGTGATATGGAAAAAGATACGAAAACATGACCGCCCCCTGGAATGGCCACACACGAAAAACACGCGAATTTAAGGAATACGGAGCTCTGGAGCCCTTTTTGGTGGATTTGTGAGACTGGCGTGAGGGGCGCTGCGGCCGCGTACGCTTCACGGGGCGCGGGCGCGGCCTGGGATGGCAGCGGCGCGCGCTGGGGAGAGAATACAGTGTCCGGTGTTGAAGTGGTTATGGGCACTTTAGAGTTAGAATTTTGAAGCTGAGGCAGAGTTTATAATGTTGGAGAAGATAACAAACAGCCTTGGACAGTGTCAGGGAAGACTCTGGACTAGGTAATGGCCCGGGGTCCCACGCGAGTATCCAGCACGGCGGGGGGAGTTGGGAGGGCAAAAGAAAGCTTTGATTAAATCACCAGCGGCTTCATAAGGAACAAGAAGTCATTAACGGGAAGTATGTTTACTTTTGTGGAAAGGGAATATTTCTTCCTGAGACTTGAAAGGAACCTTTCTAGCTTTTGCGCTTTTTCCTAGTCTACATTTTAAGATCTTTGTTACTACGCGCTGTGCCCACTCATATTCAATCCGTCTACCGCAGTTTATTCATCAAACATTTATCAAATACTGGCTATAATTTGTTAGTATGCTAGGCAGATACCGTTTAAAAGGGATAATTATATAGTTAAATAATTTTTTCCCCTCTAGCTTTATCAAGGTAACTTGTATGCTAGTCATAATTTTGGAATACTAAATGCTTATTTGAACTCTAATAAAAAAATCAGTACGTTTTAAAATCTGATAAATTTTCTCCCCTTTTAAAATTTGAGCAGTGGCTCCTCACTGCCTGCAGAGTAAATTTCATCCTGTTTAGCATGGCAAGTGGAATCTTTATAATCCTTGAATAGCTCTTGACATTTGCCGCCTTGCCATTCCATCCTATTTTGTGCTCCACCTTTATTGAACTGCTTATAAAACACTTGGACAACCTGTTTCGTCAGTCTAGGACTGTCACAGTTTTCTTTGTTTGGCTAGCATCTTTTTACCTTTTTAAAATCATTTCAGACATCATTGCTTTGTGAAGCTTTCCTCACTCTCCCCATATAGTCACTCCCCAGGCTATTTTTTGTACCTCATATATACTTGAATTTTTTTTTCATACTTATCGCATGGGATAATTTTCTAGTTACTAGTTAGGTGCTTTTCTCCCCTGCTAGACTGAACTCCTTGATTGTAGGGATAGTCTTATTCATTCCTATATTTTCAGTACCAAGTACAGTGTTTGGTAAACAGTAGATACTCTAAATGTTTGATGGAGGAATAAATTAATGAAAAATAACCATTTCATTTTTAATCAAATTAACCAAGAATGACAATTTTCTTAGAGTGCTTCAAATCAAGGACTTTGTATGAGCTTAAAGGTTATCTAGTCAGTGCATCCATCATATTCTCATATCCATAGAGGCCCAAGGGGATTAAGTGGTCAGATTCATATGGCAAATTGGTAGAGTCAAGATTATACTCAGTCGTTCAACTTCATGGTCTTTTTTTTTTTTCCCCCCCACTAGAACATACTGATTGTTGACTTAAGAAATGTCCAAACCTGTAGAGATTTTTTTATAAGAGTTTGAGCCAAATTGATGACATATGCAGGGGAGCAAGATCTCCGTTGCTCCAGAGAATAAGTTCTGCAGCTTCTTTTATGCATTTGAAATTAAGGAGGGAGTTTAAGGAAGATTACCTGGAGAGGGATTGGATTATAGGATAGTTAACAAGATACATGCTTTCTTAAGGGTGTTTATTTCAAAGGTGTGTTAACCTAGATACACAGAAACAATGGACAGAGACTGCTTAGGGCAAAGACAAAGCTTTCACCAAAAAGTTATGTCTGGGGCATGACTGCCCACCATGACCTCCCCAGTTAGCAGTTTATGATCTGGTCACCCTGTGAGGTTACTTTCCATAGAACCCCTCTTTTTCATCCACATTATTAATCTTGTACACAGTTTTAGTATAGATATTTTAGTTAACAATAGATCATTTTACTTCCAGAATCTTCTTTGGAGATTATCCAGTAAATTTTATTAGTCACAACTTTTAATTGGAAATGGCAAAAAAAAACAAAGCCAGTGAAAAGGGGATTTTTTAGAAAACTGTGTAACCTTAAAGCTTCGGTATTGCCACATCTGAGTATTTGCATGACTCCAAAAATCTGTTTTTCTTCATCACTGTGCTCTTGATTTCTTCTCCGTTAAATTCATTCCCAGGCTAACGTTCTGAGAGGTTTATATTCAACCAGATTAGCAGCCCCAAAGGAAAGAGTACATGTTTGCTAGTCACAAGGCTGGCTGTTGTTAGCTTGGCTTGGTTCTTGCTCTTCTTCAAATCAGTCAATTTTTAATTAGATCACCAGGACCAAATTGTATTCTCACCCCTGGATACTTTTCAAAGGAAAATTAGAGTCGTCTGAAAAGGAGGGCCTGGATGCCAGGCATGTAAAACAACAGTGCCCTTACAGGAAACCCATATTGTCTAGTCAGCTTGCTCTGTTGAGACCATTGAGAAAATTTATTAAAAATTACATCATTTTTTTCTAAACTGATATATACTTCAGTGGATGTAAAGGTTGGAAAGAGTATCATTGTAATAATCACCCTACCCCTACCATAGGACCTTTGTTTGTTGAAGCCCAGTAGTTTTCTCATATTAACTCAGGCCCTGGAGTAATAAATGGTACGTGAGTATCTGGAAAGGATAGTAGGTTTTAAAAATATATTATGTATGTACAATATTTGATATAATTATTGTTTTTTAAACAGTTACTCTGTATGAAACTCTGGCACTTATTTGTTGCTTTAATGAAAAGAACTGTTTACATTCTAGATTTTTCTTTCTAATTGAATATATTGCCAGATCCCCTTTGATTGAAAGGGAAATTATTAAAAACAAGAAATCATATCAAGTCTCAATACGCTATTCAGTTAGCTACACATTCTATTCACTGTTTCAGTCACTTCTAATTAAAATCAATTCCTGCCCGCCCGGGCATGACCTAGGATCCAGGAGATTGAGGTTCGATTCCCAGTCAGCGCACATTGCCCCGGTTGAGGGCTCGATCTCCAATGACTCTCATCATTAGTGTTTCTATCTCTCTCTCCCTCTCCTTTCCTCTCTCTGAAATCAATAAAGATACATAAAAAATAAATAAGTAAAATAAAATTAATTCCTCATTAGAAAGTCCTGTGTAGAAAAAAATTATTGAAAAGAGTTTGTTTTGAGTTTATATTTATTCTTTTGCTTTTATTAACTTGTGATACAGTTTGTATTCTGTTATGAACCTGATCTTGTGTTTCTTCTAATAAACTTTGTCTATCTGTTTATTCAAAGTTGTGTAAAAGTTGCTCAAACTGATTAAATCCAGTAAAA